ACTCAGACCCCACCCCAAAACTTTGAGCACAGAAATGAGACTGGGCAGATTAACTACAAGGAAGATCCCCAACTTCAAGAACAGTCACAGGTTGCCAACAGATTTAATTAAGCCAGTCCCAATTCTGCCACGGACTTTTCTCCCAGACCAACTCCAGAAAGCTAGACAGGGGGATCTGGGGCCTACCAGGAGCTCTCTGTCCATAAGGAATACAGTTCGACAGAAACCACTAGGATGCCGATTTGTCCAAAGAACTAGACAGAGCGCTAAGACTACAGAGCTGGCCTGGGGATCCATTCACCTGAAGCCAGGATCCTTTATTTGCCAAGCAAATGAGTCATAAAATTCCCTGCATGGTTTATTATGTTCTGATGATCAATATAAACAAAATACTGACTAATCAACATATGAAACTTCTTTGGGCCTTAGTGTTTACCGAAAAGCAGTAATAGGGGTGGATCAGATAAAGACATTGGATTATTTCTTAGGATTTCATCTTTGCTATAGAATTCTATTATGTAAATTTGAATTTTTCTAAACTAAATGTTAGATTTCTGACTATACTTAGCAAAAGCTGCTAGTATAGAAAAAGGTGTATGATACTTTTAGAAATACATTTAGTTTACTCATTTCTGATTTGAGATATCTTTATTTTGGCCAAAAATCTCTATTTTTCAGGTCTTCAAAGAAAAAGTAAAGGATTTTCTTTAAACAAAATATTTTTCAAAGTACTTTTGATTCTGTTATCAGGTTACTTTTCTCAACCAATAATCAAAATTAGAGACTTAAAACTTCATCCACGAAAGAGTTCACATCATTTATAGAATTTTACTACTTACTAAAATTTCATTTTATTGAATGTTTTCTGGGGAGCTACATTCTGATCTCAAATTTGCAATTCTTTAGAAATGATATGCAGTTATGACACAATCAAATATGAAAAAATATAAGCCATTCAACCAAAATAACCAAAGCACTGTGCCATAAAAGTATACCTTAAAGTGAAACAATACAGCCTTTTCATAACTATTCTGAGTCTTTGAAGGTATAATAAATACAGTGTTCTGAAATTGCTCCCCTAAATAAAATTCTAGCTTTTACTCATAAAGATACCTGGAGTGGACAAAGTGGTAGGCAGGCGTGGTATAAACACCGGGCATTTGTTGGACGACAGGTGAAGAATGTAGGTGGAAAGGGATGAGGGGGTGGCTTAGGAGGGGTGCACAAGGAATAAAGGTGACAGCAAAAGACTGGAGAAAAGAAAAACACAGGAGGAACCTGAGCAAGACATGGCCCCTGAAAGATGGGGGGGATACAGGTGGGGGCCTTGGAAAGGGAGGTGCCACACAAGCTAGGACAGGCGCCAGAGAAGAGCGGGGGTAGGGGCAGAATGAGGATGGTAGAAGCAGCAGAAAGAAAAACAGCAAAGCAGGAAAGAAAGGAGGGAAGAAAACAAAGGGCAGTCAGAGACAGAGGGCAACTTCCTACCCAGCCGAGTGCCAGCGCACTTGAAGTGTATGCCACCCTGAACAAAAGTACTACGGCCACTGTAATATTCTCATTTAATTTCAACGAAAGCATTTTATATAGCAATACATCCATTACAATTTATATGATACATACACATTTATCTGAATACTTGACCAATAAAAATGTAAGTTATTACATATTTTATACCATTTTTAAAGACATCTTTCTGAAGTTAGAAACATTGACAAAGTATAATTAAATTTTAAAGATCTTACTTACTGAGCACCAAGAAATATATTGAGTGGCTAATGTACATGCCTCCTTCAACCACAGCAATAACACTATATTTCCTAAGCCCCTTAGCAGCAAATCACAATGAAGAATAACACCACTTCCCAGGAACGGATGTCAGGCTCTAGCTCTCTTAGGGTTATTTCCTTTTTCCAAGTGTGCATGCCTGGCAGAACTTCTACTTTCTTTTCTGTCATTTTTGTCTTTCGTATCAGTTGATTTTTTCCTGTTTTCCTTGGATTTAGCATTTCTATCGAGGTCCACTTTCTCCTTCTCTCTGTCCTTCTTACCCCTAGAAGACTCCTTCCTGGAGATATCTGAATCAACAACTTTCTTATCCTTCCGGTCATTCTCTTTGTCTCTCTTTCCCTTTTTTCTCTCTTCGTTTTTATTCTCTTTCCTTGACAAAAGTTTCTCCTTTTCCTTCTTGAGCTCTTCTTTACTGGGTTCTTTAACTTTCATGTTTTCCAACCAAAGGAAAAAAAGGTTTATTGATGGCATCTCTTAACCTACTAAACAGCAACTTAGTGAGAAAGTACTGACTTTTTGTTTTCTCTCTCTTTCTGAGACAGGGTCTCACTATGCAGTTCAGGCTGGCCTTGAGCTCACTTTGTAGCCCAGGCTGGTCTCAAACTCACAACGATCCTCCTGCCTCAGCCTCCTAAGTGCTGGGAGGTGTGTGTGTGTCACCATGCCTGCCAGTACTGACTTTTTAGCTGTCTCCCCCAACACAAGAAATGTTCATTTAAAAAGCAAACTTCAGTTCACTAGTTTTTAAGTTAGCTAATAAGAGATGCAAACATCTATAAAGTATCAGTTATAAAAAATGCTAGAAACTTGGCTTCAAGTATGGTATGGTTTGTCTTAATACAGGGTTAACACGCAATGTTAAAGTGAGTCTACCCATAGGGGTAGCACTTCACATTTTGTAACTATAACTGTGTAAGTAAAGGAATGCCATCAGAGTAAAACAAGCTTTTTGTAATTTGTTTTTATACAAAGACAATTTAAAATATTTTAACTTAAAAAATTATGTTCTTATAATACTTGTACCTAGTCTTTAAGAAAAATATGAATAAAAGCTACATACCACTTAGTTGTCTTAGTTAAGTAAGCAGAAAATAATTTCCATGCATATGAAAATTTAAAACCACTATTTGCATTATTAAAATGACAATCAAAAGTTAATATTATAAAATGAGTGTTCCTTTAAGCACGTTTCCCTAGTATTTTATGAAGAGCCATACATGCCAATACACGTCTCCTGTGCTCACACAGGACAAGGAGTCAGTAAATGGAACACACATTTAATTCCAAACTTCACATCAGATACTGCTTTGCACTTGCTCTACGTACAGCTCAATAAATCAGTTAAGCAGAAGATTTAAATTTAACTTTTTTTACCTCTCATCAAGAAATCATGAGGGAAGATGTTTATTGCATAAGGTACCATTTAAGAAGTGACAAAAAATAAGCAATCTATTAAATATAATAAAATGCGGAAGATGATTTTTCCGCATCAAAATCACGTAAAACTCATTAGTACAAAGGTTATTCAAAATGAGCCCTACATCTGCGGCGATCACACAAAGTGCGTGTGCATAGCACCTTTCTAGCTCAGGGATGGTGAACCTCTTGGAGCTTTTAATGATACAAACTACTGTCGCAGCACGTGTGCTAGAGGTTCACCACAACTGCACAGGCTTAGTAAAGTCTCGATTAACCAGCAAAAACATCATCTTATTAACTGAATTTCGTAGTCAGCAACCATGAAACTCTTCAAATCTTCCTTAAAAATCTCATCAAAATCCTGTCAGGAAACAAAACAGCACTCAGAGCATCACTCTCCAAGTCCTCATTCTAGTGTTTGTACAGTGATAGAGAAAACAGCACTGCAGGCAAGTAAAGTGCTTGCACAATGTTATACCAGGCCTTGCTCTGTACATTTGAAAAAAAATTAAACCTTTAATGTTTGATTTGCTTTTTTAGATTAAATAAAAGCTCTTTACTGAACATTAGCTTTATTATTACTTACTAAAAAAATAAAATGTTTTATCATTATTTACTGCAAGAAAATAATTTAATGACAAAAAATGTTTTTTTCTGGGAACTACTCTGGTGTGATACAAGGTTAAAATAAGTAAAATAGCCAGGCATGGTGGCGCACACTTGTAATCCCAACACTTGGGAGGCTGAGGCAGGAGGATCGTTGGGAGTTTGAGGCCAGTGTGGGCTACAAAGTGAGTCCAAGGCCAGCCTGTGAAGTGCATGGCGAGATACTGTCTCAAACACACACACACACACACACACACACACACACACAAATTAAATTCCCTCACCTTAAAATACAAGTCACAAAAATCTGCAGAGCACACAGCGAAAAGCTCAGATGTTCATGTTTTGTCAAAAAAAACTACAAACAATATGCCAAGCACGTTAACCAAAAGAGTATCACAAGTTCATAGACAGCCATGCACTTCTACCATGCCCCTCTGACTAAAGAACATAAGCATTCACATGTCAATAAACTGTACCCATATAAGTAAAGCTGCAATATCAAACTGTGTGTAAGTAAAGGAATGCTATCAGAGTAAAACAATCTTTTTGTAATTTGTTTTTATACAAAGACAATTTAAAATATTTTAACTTAAACAATTATGTCCTTATAATACTTGTACTTAGTCTTTAAGAAAAGACTACAAATAATATTTGACAGGTAGAATAATTTTAATGAATTACCACAGCAAATTCTGAAGTCTAATGCAGTGTTCCAGATGACAAACTTTATTGTACTACAAAGCACACATTTGACCACACTAGCTTCTACTGTGCTCTAAAACAGTATTAGAGCTTTTGGAGAAATAAAATCAATCACTGATGATTTTTTTTTTATATACAGCAGTAATTTAAGAGGTCAAAACGATTACTATTTTGGGTAGCAAGGTAAGAAGTGAATATATAAATTTAATACAAACACTCTAACAAATGTAGCATACTGTTGTAAGCTATTGATTTAAAACTGTTACAAAGTTGTAATAACATGAAAAAGAAATCAATTATATGCTTCCAGCAGAAAATTTAATGAAGTTTTTTAATCAACTACTTAAAAGGTGCACTCAAAACCAAAGAAGCAATACTACTTAGCATTAGTAGCTGCATTTACATTACATATCCAGAAAACTTCATGCATTTTCAGGCACTAAACTTCTCTCAAGGCTAATTTGAAAAACAGAAAATACCTTTAGCCTTAGTTTTTCTCTTGGCTACCCCACCAGGTCCTTCTGTTGGTATTCACAAGATGAAAATAGGTTATCAAGATAAAAGACTGAAGGAATTTAAAAATAAGTATCTATAAAATATTAAGTCAAGGCCTTCATAAAACAACTTACTTAAATTCACCATTTTTTAAAAATCACAGCATATTTGTACCATTTCTATGTTACTGTAAGTCCTTAATTTCACTATTTATAACACACGCATGCATCAATCTATGATCTGGTCTCCATCACAACTTGCCTTAGACCTTTACGAATCATTGGCTTTAGAAATACGTCTCTACCACTAGAAATGGCATTCTGTTGCAGACAGTAGACTTTTGCTCAGGTCACAAATAACGAGGGGAAAGGACTGAGGACCTTGCTTCCTTACTTAGTCACCACTGCCACCGTAAAAAAGGCAGCATATTTCGATAAAATTCAAAACTTTACTGTTTGAACAAGCATTTTCCTTTCCCATCATTTCAAGCTTCTTAAGCTGCGAGGGGTGGCACACGCATGTAATACCAGCACTCAGGAGGCTGAGGCAGGAGGATCACTGAGAGTTCAAGGCCAGCCTGAACTGCACGGTGAGACCCTGTCTCAAAAAGACAAAAAAAAACCTTCTTTTTAAAACTATATAAGAAATAGCACAAACACATAGATACATACTAATTTTTCACTCTAAAACTTTGCAACAGCTTTCTACTTCCCAAAAAAGTTCTGACAAAAGCTCTGACAGTGGGTTTTTGATCCTCTAATGAACATGAGCAACACATGCATTCTCGTCCCACTAGACTGTACTGAGCAACTCCCTCAGTTTTCCATTTGTCAGGCTCCCAAATGTTATTTTATATTCATGTATCTGCAAACTTTCCGAAATGGCATTCTAAGCTACCAATCCACTTCTTAAGGCAAGTCAGGTGGGAGGCATAGTCCTTACTCCTGAGGGGTGAAGGGTAGGTAGCAGCACCATGCACAAAAAGCTAAGATCTAAGGTAGCAGCATCAGAACTTAGCCCTGGAACCCCTGACACTCTTGCTGCAAGCTGCAGGACCCACTCTATATATTTTTTGATACAAAGTCAGACCCCCACTTTTAATATGCGGTACTTTCATGTCTTTTATATTGTTCACATCAACCCTCATTCCTAAGCTATTCACCCTTCAGAGAAAACAAGTATGTCTTAGCAGTGAAGCGGGGAGGGAAGAAACACAATTAACTGCTTCCTGTGGCCATACTTTTCCAATTACTTGATGTGTGCAGACAGCCTAACCTGAACAATACAGATTTACACTTATTTTTGACAGACAAAATGTGATTCATCCCCAAAATCTGTCAAAACAGTAAACCACTTTGAGACGCGGAAAGCTATCTCAGACCATTCCCTGCTTAAGTTTATGTCACAATAAAAGAGCCAATTTGCTCACATAATACTAAGTTTTAAATGCATGGGCATGAATCAAAAAATACAGCAGGAAGCATTTAACTGCACATCAAGGCTGCCACCTCTAGCTCCGTGTGCTTGTCATGGAGGCCTTGTGCCCACAATGAGGCTCCCGCCACCTGCACGCTCTGAGCCATGATGGACAGCACATCCCTCAGGTCAAACCTGTGGCCCATGTCCTGCTTCACTTGAGTCAGTGGCATCCCAAAGGCGAGACAGATAGCATGATGCTACGGTGGCCTTGTTAACAGGATGGGTCCAAGATGAGCAGGAACCTGGCTGACCATCTCGGCCACCTGTGGGTGGGAGGCTCTGAGATGATTTCTGCCTAGCAGGCTCCCTACACCAGGATGGAGCTAGCTGCTCTCCAACGTCGTACTAACAGTACCCAGGTGGCTGCAGTTGAGCTCCTGAACACCAGTACCCATGTGCCTGAAGTTATGGTGGATGATGCTACTACCCGGGTGCCTGAGGTTGAGAACCATGGAAATCAGACCGCCGGGAACTAGTTCATGAATTTATGAGCCCGTTTCCTATCCAGAAGTGAAAGTAGGCAGGGGATGAAGTAGAAACTTTGGAAAATTCATCTTTCTAGTCTCCTAGAAGCTGGAGGAAGTCTGTGTGGTTACTCGTCTTTTTCACTACTATCATGTAAAGTTTGCAAAAATTAATAAATGGACGCCTTCCAGTACTGCTAGTGTCTCCCTCCAGCCCCTCCTGCTGCTGCATGTCCTCTTAGGACAGATCCAGATCTCCTGTTAAAAACTAGCCGGGTACACGTCAGAATTCCACTCCACACTTAACTGACATAATACAATCCAAAAAATTACACTGATGAAAAGGCTAGAGTTAACTTTACCACAAAAAGATTAACATCAGATTACTGAAACATTTAAAATTGAGTAATTTAACACTTTTCCAGTTGGGTAAAAATTCTTAAGACGATACAAATTATTGATGTGTAATGCAACATGTAAGATTCCAAAGTACCAATTTAAGCTACCTTTTTGGAACTTAAATGACTTAAAGTCCAAGCTAGTAATTTAAATCACAATAGTTAGATTCAGTCTCTGAAAGCAGGACAAATCAACAACACTCAGAAAACAAGAAGTTAATAAAGGATCCACTGAATAACAATGAAACAAGACTAGTGTCAAGAAAATACAGGATGTAAAAGTCTAAAGCGCAGTTCAGGCAGGAATGCACGGACACAGGGGGAAGCTAAAGACACTGCTGCGCTGTGTTACTCATCGTACAGGGAGCCTTTTCATACTGGGTTTTGAAGTCATACAAGAGGCAGCCACACTGAGAAAACACAAGTGGAACGAGGTGGCCCAAGGGTGCTGACCAGGGCCTCCCTTACCCCACTGGAAGCAAGTGTCTGTAGCTGTGCTGTCACGGCCACCTGGATGTCCTGAATCAATTTAAAATGTTTACCTCTCACGGTCATTTTGACTTTGGGTAAGAGTCAGAAGTCACATGGTATCAGATCCAATGAATAAGGCAGATAAAGACATATGGTAATATTTTTATGAGCCTGCCTTTCCACTAGATATTTTTGATCACATCTCATAAAGACACTCAGGAAAAAAAAAAAAAAAACACATTCCAGAACTGCTTCAGAAGTGGCAAGGAAATGAGACAAGTATGTTCAAAGCAGTGGGAAGAACTTGAAGGAGAAGTAAAGACAATGTGTCTTTTATGGTAATGATCTGTTAAAACAATTTAAGCAGTCACTGTATTTTTATCACACCTTGTACATTATGATCAACAAAGATTACACATTCTAAATAACAGAAAGCTTCTTATGCATCTTGTAGATTTAATGAATTACACCAGAGCTTTATATAGAAGGGATCAGAGTAACAATCCCAGTGTAAGTGTCAAGTGATCAAACTAAGAATATAATTTCTACCTATACCTGCTTTTGACAATTTTCTAAAATTGCAAATATTGAAACCAGGAAACATTATGTTCCATATAAATGTTGGTAAAAATCAATTCAAGCAGAAAAAAATGTTTTTCTGACATGTCCAGATACTACTCTGAAATAATGCATGGAGAAAAGAATCAAGTGCAAGATGAACAAACAAGCAGGGCCACCAGCCTTCCACTCTGCCCTTACCTCCTCACAGGCAGTGTGCTGAGGCCAGGCCTCGGGAGTTAGTGAGATCAGCACCTAGAAGACACTCCCGCAGCTCACCGACAGCCACACTGGAGTCCCCCTAAAAGTCCAAACTGAAAGAATCCTACGTGCTGTGCCTTGTTTTTATGGAAAACTCCAGACAACCCAAATTCAACAAATGGCAATGCTTCCAAAGAAGCTAGAATAGCCGCTGTGAGGAGCCAACACCATGTCTGCTACACAGCATATTCCAGATTCCCAGGTTTTTCAAAACTGAAAAAGCACGCAGAAAATATAGTATGGTTCACAATTCCGGACCTACAAATATACTCAAATACACAGAATACAATGTTGGCTTTTTAAAGTAACCTCTTAAGTTTGAAAGACAGGAGCTAAAAAAACATTTCTACTGTAAACCAAAATTACAAGATGAATCCTTACAAAATTAAGAATTATGCTTAAGCAAAGTCATGCTGATCAACTTTCATATTCTTTGTACCACAGATTTACAAATAATTTTATCCCCTTCCCCAAACGCACACACACAAAGCCCAAGGCAGAAGTTGAAGGAGGTCACAGAAGTCAGGGGTTCACCAGCTAGCTGTATGTAACATTCATCGAAGCCTTTCAATGAGCTGACCAGAGATGGTACAAAACAAATGGCAAATTATCACCTCACATTCTTGTTCACTTGTGAAAATAAAGCATAATTAATTTCTGTACATAAAATGTTAGTATGACAAAAAAGCACAGACTTGTGTAATTAATTACATGTGAACACCTTTAATGCAAAAAAAAAACAACACATCTTTAATGCAATATTCACTTGTCACATAAATAAAACACCTTCTAAAGGTAGTAGTCATGGTGCATTAAAAATACCTACTTTTGAAAATTTCTCAGACATTTGGCTAAGTGAATTTCATTGAGGGTAGGGCTTAAGATTGCCTTTGAATTTCAACCTGGTGATCTTTCATATTTTACAGGACTCAAAGTCAGACAAGACAAATACAGATAGAGTGAATTAACTTTCAGAAAGAACACTATTGTTTCTTGGTTGATGGGTTAACTGAAGTTGATGTGTATGTCAAAATCAGAAGCTTCTGACTGTCTGAAATATTAAGAGAATGATGAATTACCTAAATAATGAGGGAAGGGACAAGCTGGAGTTTTAATAGTCACTTAACTTGTAGGAAATCACCTTCCAATGAACAATATGGGCATTCCAATCTAAAAATATCTACAGAATATTTTACTACACTATAGTAGGATTAACAAGTTGGACAATCTTCTCTGATACATGTACATAATGGCTGAGCAGATGGAGTCCTATGTTTAGATTTCAGACATCCATGTTCATGTTAACATTTTATAATTAAGAAACAAATGTCATATTACCCTCAGGACAAATAATCCAATTACTTGAAAGTAAGTTGGTTAAATATGGAAAAACAAGGAATATTATTGGATAATTAGAAATAATACCCAGGCGTATGGCACACGCCTGTAATCCCACCACTGAAGAGGCTGAGGCAGGAGGATCATTGCAAGTTCGACCAGCTTGGGCTACAAAGTAAGCTCAAGGCCAGCCTAGATTGCATAGTGAGATTCTGTCTCAAAACACATACACAAAAAAAAGAAGTAATAGCCAAATAAATTTGTCTAACATGCAATTGTTTCCTAGGCTTAACCTCAACGAGAAACCAAAACTAAGCAAAATTTTGAAGTACAAAAATTTAAACATAGAAAATGTCACTCCTTCAAAGAGTAATGGTGACCAAAAGTCTTACACCTTATTCCTTTCTAGTTGTAAGAACTTTACTTGGTGTTAAATAGGTGAAAATTGTAAGAAATAGTTTTAGCCAGGTGTGGTGGCGCACGCCTATAATCCCAGTACTCAGGAGGCTGAGGCAGGAGCATTGTTGCAAGCTTAAGACCAGCCTGGGCAACAAAGTAAGCTCAAGACCAGCCTGAACCGCACAGCAAGACTCTGTGTCAAAAAGACAAAAAAAAAAAAAAAAAAAGCAAGTATTTTTATGTATAGCTAATATAACTGCTTTTTGTTTTACTGAAGCAAACTCATTCTAAGGAAATGATTCAAAGATGTTTTTAGGTTTTCTGATAGAAGAAAATTATTCTCCTAACACTGAATGATTTTAATAAATTTAATTTATAAATCTAAAAATCACATTATGTCTATGCCAAATCAGTAACTAATTAATAAGTTAGTGAAGAAAAAAATAGAAAAAGACTTATTTAGGATGAATAATTTTAATATGTACAACATTATTTAAGATACATATTCACATTTTCCCTCTTTCATAAAATACTTACTTAAAAAAATACAAATTACCTTCTCTGGATGTATACTTGAAAATGAAATTTAAAATAAATTTTGTTTCATAAACAGAAATATTCATACTATTATCTGATCTAAGTAACTTAACTATCCTAAAGCAAAAACATGGGGTATTTTAAAATTAATTCCAAAGCACCTTTAATACACAATTTCACATAGAAATTTGTATGAGCCTATCTGACAAGTCAATTAACCTAAACAAATTACAGATAAAAAATATCAGCTTTTTAAAGAACCATCATTTTATACACCAGACAAGTTTAAGAACAGAGAAGCATTCAACTTACGGATCATGCCAGAAATAATGTTATAAACCAAGTCCATCAGAATCATCATTAATAGGGTTAGTAAGACAAGCATCAAGGGTTAACAACAACACAATTTACCATTAACTTTTCAAATTTAGGTCAGTGAATACATAGGTTGAAACAAAATCATACAGAAACCAATTATACCACCAGGAAAATCATTTTCAATATATTTTATAGACAGCTACAAGAACAAGGAACCCCACTTTCTTCGTAAGAAGTGAGGGCTGCAGAGCGAGGGACTAACTAGTAGCTGTACTGAGTGAGATCACATGGTTGACTTCTACTGTAAGGTCACAACCGCCCCACTGCACATGAAGCCCTGCATAAGCCAAGGAAAGGAAAGACGAAAGAAGACTGCTCCACGTTTCAAAAGCCACGTGCCTTCAGTCCCTGAATCAAAGTTACTGGTTATGTAAATCCAAAATGACACAGGTCTTTCCCTGAACCCCTTCATTCTGTGACGTACCATCAACACCATCTGTGGTTTCACTTTCTTCTTCTTCTTCTTCTAGCATTTCAAAAGGAGTCATTATGTCATAGAGAAATGAGAGGAAACCATAAAACCAATCTGAACTTTCCTCTGCTAAAATATTAAGGACTTCCTCAAGAGAATCAATATTTTCATTACTGCCATCTTTGGTCAGGCCTACATAAGAATAAAGGAAAAGAGAAAGAGAAAATAAGGAGAGCAGTTAGGCGGAAAAATCTGTTGAGGGAAAGTGATCTCAAAAAAGGATATGCATCAAGGTCACAGAAGTTTACAGAAACAGCATTTTGGAAAGCAAAGAAATCAATGGAGATGCACACCCTGCAATAACTGTCAAGCACGTGTGAGAGGAAAGCTGCAACACTGCTCACCGACCAATCCTCGCATTCGTCCCGGCTGCTAAGCAGGTTTGCGTTTTTCCCATTACACACTCTGAAGTTGGAAAACTGACAAAATTGCATCAGCCCAAATCAACAGACATAATGGGAAGAAACAGAAGCAGTATCAAAGAAAAAGACACGAGCTTCTGACAATCTCCAGATTCACTAAATTACCAACCAGATATTAGTGTGAATGAATTATACAAACATTTATGTATTTCAATAAAATTCACCAAAAACCAAAAGGCTGTTTTCCTCAAACTCTTAGGACATGGAGTAAGCTCAGGAAACTCTGGAGCTATGCTGACTTGCAGGATGACGGCTTATGCCTTCCATAAATGGGCACGAATGCACTCGCATTACAGGACTCAAGACAAAACACTTCAATGTTAACATCAGCAAATAGGTTAGGTCTGTAGTACACTGTAACTGATCCATGGCCCTTTGACTCTAGGCAATAACAAGAATCAGCGATTAGTAACTTACTCTGTCCATTGATAAGAAATTCGATCAAAGCCTCAGCTGGTCCTTTGCAATGGGAACGTTCCAAACCCCTCTTGCCTTCAGTACATGAAATTAACTTCTGCAAAGACTGCCACTTCTATTATTTAAACATTAGTACCAAAAACAGACCCTCCCAATGGAAAGAAATCAAAGTGTATATTAGCGCTTTTCCCTGTGAAGGGGCTGTGAACAGGTAGGTCTCGTGGTGTTAGTGGGCATCAAAATCTGCCAATATTGCCAAGCTACATATATAGCAAGGCCCCGTAATTTGGGGGAGAAAAAACAGGGTAAGTAGTACTGGCTGCAAGAAATATGAAAGTCCACAACCATAGAGCTTTCTGTGTTGTAACCCCTCAAAATTCAATCATTTAAGGACTTATCAATACACAGTCTCCACACAGCAAGCGAAATCGCCATGTGACGGTAATAGTGTGGCAGCTAACTTAGATTTTAAAGATAACAGTGAATTTTCTCTGCTTTAGTCAATAAAAGAATTACAGGATATCATTCTTCACATATTTGAAAGGAAGGATACAAATTGCAATTAGTATTCAAGTTACTTTTTGACAAGCCCATAATGTTTTTCACTAAACTTAAGAGTTGACAAATGCTTGAATAGGAGATCTGAATTTCCATCCAAGTTTTTGGGATAGGAAAAATCTTTTCTTCCTGTCTCAATATATCATAGCTAAATATTTAGTAAAGATATTTTTATTTTTCTCCATGTTACAATATATTACGAGTACTTGAGTATCAGGTATAAAATATAAAACCATCGGGGCTGGGGATTTAGCTCAGCGGCACAGCGCCTGCCTGGCAAGCGCAAGGTCGTGAGTTCGGTTCCCGGTACCGGAAAAAAACCAAAAATAACAAAAAACAAGAAAAAAAAAAATAAAACCATCATTCTTCAATATAACAGACTGAAATGCACAACAAACATGTAAAACCATTTAAATAAAACTGTTCAATTAAGCAACAACCTTCCTGGAGTTCTTAAAGACAAAAGTACTAGAGAAAGCTAAAAGTATCTCTAGGTATATAACACCTTCTTAACCTGTAAGAGCAGGCCCCAAGCAAAGAGCAGGGCATCAATGCCACTGCATGGGCAAGCACCGGTCTCCAGCCTTGAGCTCACTCATGGTCCATCCAGTCTACAAACAGCTATCAAAGGTCTCAGAAGTGGAGGCTGGCTTCGCTGTAAGCATTTAGTCCTCAGACCATTTCCTTTTGGCTTTATGTGGGAAACAAGTTTGTAAAGAATGTATTTCCAAACAATGTAGTTTCTAATAATCTAAGCCAAAATCAAAGATACTTTTATTTCAGATAATCTGGCCACACAAACAGGAAATACTGTAAGGAAGAATGAGCTTAGTATATTCTCAAAATGTACCAGAAGGTTGGGCGTGGTGGTGCACGCCTGTAATCCCAGCACTCACGAGGCTGAGGCAGGAGGATCTTTGCAAGTTCAAGACCAGCCTGGGCTACAAAGTGAGCTCAGGGCTAGCTGGAAATGACATAGTAAGACCCGGTCTCAAAAAAAAAAAAAAAAAAAACAGGACAAAAAAAAATTTTTTTAAATACAGATACAAATATTCATAAAAATCCTTACTAAATAAATGTCACACCTATAAAAGTTTAAACTATTATTATATTTGCCATGCTAAACTCTTTTCTCCTACCTTCCCCCTCCCCTCACATTCCTTCTGCCTTTATCCAAAGCCTGTATTATTCAAATTTAACCTTAACCTTTAAGCTGCCATCCCAATGAGTATGTTCCCAGGAAGTCTGACTTTTCTGGAATAAATACTCACTGTATTTGCACATCTATCATTTCTCTCTGATCATAAGGAGGGCATGGTTCTCTATATGCCAAAAGTTCACCAAGCTGTCTCTGCAGTCACTTGCCAGTAACACAGGTACTGCTAAACTATTATAATCTCACATGCTAGAAAAGGACTTTAATCATCAAATTCATGCTATGCTTCTGTTTCACACAGAGAATTCAAACAGCATAGAAACAAGGTCACGGGTAAGAGCCTGACAGTTCTCCTACAGCCAGCCACAAGCTGTGAACTAGTACATGCAGACAGTAGCTTCTTTATCTTTGGTTTATTTTCTTTACTGGTCAAATTATCAAAATGAACACTGAGATTCACCAAATTTTGTTCCATTTCCTAATGCATAATTCTAAAAGGAATGAATCATGATTTATCCATACTATATGTGTGTCTATCTGCAAAGTGTAATCCTCAAGCTTACATTTACTTATTAACCTCTTAGGAATGGTTAAAAATCTTTAAGGGGGCCAGGTGTGGTGGCGCACGCCTGTAATCCCAAGAACTTGGAGGCTGAGGCAGGAGGATCCTTGCAAATTCGAGGCCAGCTGGGCTACAAAGTGAGCTCAAGGCTGGTCTGAACTGCATAGTGAGACCCTGTCTCAAAAAGACCAAAAAAAAAAAAAAAAAAAGAAACCCAAAGGGAATAACCTTTTGAAATCTAAAATATACTAAAAGTCAAGTTATTACTGTGAAAAACATCAATAAAATATAGATGAGAAAATTACTTCTAAAAGTAAAAGAACTTGCCCCACATGAAGTTAACTTAAAATACTCATAATCATCACTGAAACTAATATTTGTAGTAATGAACCATTTATAGCAAGAAAATTACCATCCTCCTGATATGTCATTTTATTTAATTTTATATATTTCACATGACTAAAGTTATAGTCATCTAAGGATTTAATGTTTGTACCAAGATCCTAATTTAGATACATGGTGACAGATTTATACAGAAAATTCCATTAAGTCAGGAAAAGAAATTTCCTGGAAATTTTATAGTGAGCATCCACTGCTAAGTGGCACACATTAATTCCCATGAAGTAGTAACAGTAGTAAAAATATATAAACTATGACAAATCAAAGAAGCTATATTACATTAAGTCACTAATTTAGGTTTTAAAAATATTTTTCATATTTAGAAGTTTTTGTCTTTAAAGATGTTTACCTACAGAAAATAATTTAATTGGCTGTAGATACAATATCCTTACAGTTTTTCATGTTAATAAAACATACAAAATAGTACTTCTATGAAGATTTTCTTTGTGTTATTATTCTGATAAGATCAGTATATAATAAGATGTCATAGCCATTATTTTTCTGAATACTTTAATGTAAAGTTTTAATACATATTATCCTACATGCTAAAGCAAAGGAAATAATGCTGCTTAAATGCAGGAGTACATATTTAATCAAGCCAAATCATACAAAATTTGCATATTAAAACCAGCGCCATCCTTTCTAGTAAGGCGGCATTTTAAAACAAATGACAGAATACCACATCTTTATTTATTACAGGAAACATCTCAATGACAAATCAAGACAGGTAATTCTGATGGTAAAAAGAGTCAAAGATTTCCATAACAAGTTAGCTTGGTCAAAAGACCATTAATTCATAGTTCAGTGTCAATTTTAAAATATACATAGGACATTTTAAGGTACTTACATCATGAATTTATTTCAAAGTACTGTAAATTTATATAAAGCTTCTGAAATTCACATTTTCAAATGAAAGTTAATTATGTTAAACGGTGCTAAAAATGGTTAGGATATTATATAGAGGGAAGTACTGGGTTCAGAACATGAAGTACTTTAAAACTGAAAGTACAAATGAAATTACACTTATTAAAAATCTAAGGGAAAGAGCTATATATATCTATTTATAAAAGTAAATTAACACCTGGGAGTCCTACAGAAAAAGTCATTTAATATCTCAACAAAAAAGTAATGTATTAAAGTGGGGAAATACTGTCCAGACAATTTTTACAACTGAAATAGATACTGAAGCAGAAGCATTGTTCTGATTCCAGTACTTTTCCATCACTAGCAAAAAATAAAATGAGTACTTGCCTAATAAAACTTTGGCATCATCCACATCAAAATCTCCATCACCATCAGCATCATAGATTCCCAATTTTCCTATGGTAAGCAAGAAATGATAGATACAAGAACAAAAGGGAAAACAGATTTAATATTATGACTTATTGCAGTTCTATGCACCACCCACAAATGTTACTGACAATGTAATTCTTTATTCTTTTAATCTCTGAAAGCAGTACCACGTGAATGTTCACCTAATAAATTTTAAGACTGAGATATGATATTTTCTTTAAAGGTTAAACAATACACTGACAGGCCTCACCATTGTGAAAGCAGTATAATTTTATAGTCAACACTTAAAACAATAAGTTTCATATAAACAATAACATTTATTATACTATTAAAAGTATTTTAGGAAAAAATAAATAAATAAAAGTATTTTAGGTAAAATTCTAAACA